AAAATGTTATCACAGGCTCTGCTATTATATTATATTATCTCCTCTTAATTCACTTATTTTTATCCACACGTTGCACATTTACTTATGCGCAAACAGGCTATCCCCTCCGTGCCTAAGAAAAAGAACCTCCCCCGAGTTTTCTTCGACATCAGAGTTGGTCAACAGGACGTCGGTCGGATCATTATGGAGCTGCGCTCAGACATTGTCCCTCGAACAGCGGACAACTTCCGTGCTCTTTGCACTGGGGAACGCGGTTTTGGTTACAGGGGTTCTTGTTTCCATCGTGTTATTACCCAATTTATGTGCCAAGGCGGAGATTTCACTAAGGGTGATGGGACTGGTGGCAAATCGATCTATGGTCGCAAATTCGATGATGAGAATTTTCAGCTTAGACACGAAGCACCTGGTCAGATAAACATACAGATTGACCTCTCTTTTCATTACCATAAATGCAATCTTCTCATTTTTGAAATTTTTATTATTAAACCATGCTGGTCACTTAAATATATCCATTGCCAATTTCTGACTAAACTCTCAAAGATTCAACGGAAAAATTGAATTTCATGCTTAGTTTCGCATTATCCTTTTTTAAAGAATATCCTTTGAAGACATACATTTTTTGGACATTTCGTACATTTGACTTGCAATCTTTACACACTTAATGTATATTAGAGTTAATTCATGTTGATGAGATAGGTACCAATGACAGAATGAGATAATATTTTTAATGTAGCACTTGCTGACACTTATTTAACCATCCGTGGCAATAGAAATAGCATAGCACTTGATTGGGACTTTCATAAATTTCACCCAGATTGTTTTTGCCTTTTGTGCTTGTTCCATATTATATATTCTGTGCCAATTTTATAATTAGTACTGCTTCTTTATTTTTAATGGTGGCCTTTTTTTAATGTTGCTCTAGGCATTCTATCTATGGCTAATTCTGGTCAAAATACCAATGGCTCACAATTTTTTATCACTACATCTAAATGTGAATGGTGAGTGGCTTTGTAATGTGCATACATTTTTTTTACTTTTTGGTTCTTAAAATTATTATTTCATTAAACACTCATGTTTTCATTTCTAGGTTGGACGGAAAGCACGTTGTTTTTGGCCGCGTAACTGAAGGCTTAAACGTTGTCAAAAAGATCGAGGTAGATCTCTATTCATTACGCATTTTGCGATTTATTTGCAGGCTTTGAATGGATAATTTGACACTTGCAGAGCGACTTCAGGATAGTAATTCCTTCCTGCCCTCTTCAGCTTTATAGAGCGCTGCCGTTCTATACTTAAGCTTCAGTCGTTTCATCCCTGCGAGTAAAATTTTCAGCGAAAACTTTTTAAGTTGGTTTTCACTATCACTATGGCTGGCCTTAGTTATACTAGGCCAGATCGCTTACTATCCTTTACTGAAAACTGTTAAGGTCCTCAGGTCAGGGGATTTCACGTCGTATCGTCTAGTTTCATAATCTCACTTAGATTGGTAGGAAGCCTTGACCTGGCTGACTGCAAAACATTATCACCCTGCCATAGTCCGAATGATCTATGATGCACATGTGACTCTGCCGACAATGCAAAGCAAGAAGCTGAGACATACCTACGTTTGTTATACGAAAACTAACTGGATTTTGACGGATATCAAAAGATGACATTGTTGGGAAAACTTTCACTTTGTATGGAAGATATTCGAAGTTCAGTTTCATAGAAATACGATGACTGATTCCCGTTGTACTGCAGCCGTTGGCCTTAATATAATGTTTATGTAAACGCACTCCACAAGGCATTATCAGAGCCGAAATTCATTATCGTAATACTCTCCAGTTAGCACTAGGTCAAGAAGACTTTCAAACTATCTTATTATCGACATAAGTAGACATAAAATGGTTTGGCTAAATAACTTTCATGTTGGTCATGTTCCTCTTGGTATGTTTGTGTGTGTATATGTGTTAACATCTATACGTAATACCGGTCCCAAATCAAAATTAATACAAAAGCCCGATGTCGAGCTCAGGTCATCAAGGTTTAATGACTCAAGAAAAAAATCCTGGCCAAGACTGCAATGGAGTCCATAAGCAACTCTCGTTGAGATTAAGAGATGCAAGTGTGTAAATTAAATTACGAAACCACATATCCTAACTTGTCCGGCTAGAGCCATTAAGGCTTAACAACCTAAGGAAGTATATGACTGGGGCTGCGTAATCTCGTTCGTCTGATTTGGTTGTTGAGCTTAACCTAACATGTGGTAGTGAAGTTAGAACCACCCCTGATCTGACAAGTTGAGCAGCCTTCTTCTGGATGGCGACTAAACACCCTCTCTTTCCTTCAATCTACCAATCAAACAAGAAGTTCTTACTCCACTTTCTTTCACCGTTCCTCATATTCGACGTGTTCCCTAATCAATTAATTTCATTAGACTTTCTTATCATTTTTTAACAGCAGACGCACTATCACCAGCGGGCCTATGCGTTTAAGATCAGTCGATTCCATATTCAGTCTCTGCCATGTGTTTGGCCACTTTTGGCCGTTGGTCCTAACTGCATTGACAGGCAGTTTTGTATTCTAATCTTTGGCGAATAAGCCGACGTCTCACCAAAATAAGGTCGGCTACACTAGCACACAATCTTATAGCAGTCGGATCCCTATAAGGGCTCATATATTTCTTTAAAAGATGACATGACCGAATAAAAAGTCAAGGTTTCTGTGCTCACAGTTTATACCCCCTACTTCTTCATTAGTTCGCCTAGCTTATTGGAAAGAAGGCATGACAACAAGGATAGGACATAAGGTCTAAGCTTGTCTATCTTTGATTGAATAGTCTCTGTCTGATAATTATTATCAGTTGGGTTTAAAGGATAATTATTTATCTGGAATAAATTTTTCGGCCGTTCCGACTCTGATCAAATAGTTACTATCCCCTAGTTCTATACTCCTAATGATCATTGTTGGATGTGTGAAAGCAGGAAACGATATATGCTTTCCCTTTCATGAAGCCAGATGACAAAATAGTCATCCCTTTATCTAAATAATAATTTGACTGTTAGTGTTGTCTTTTCCAATATGGGTTTTTCAATATTGGTTTCTAGGACTCCCCTAGTAGAGTGATGCTAAAATACCTTCAATTTCGTTTGGAAAGGCGGGTGGAAGGGATTCATAGTAAACCCCAACCGATGCCGAAGTGAGATTGCCTTGGCTCGTGACTTTTAAATTGTGGGGAGCCGACTGCCTTACGATTGTGTGTTACTGCGATCAAATTTATTTTGGTGGGACATATTTGCCTATTCACCATAGATTAGGAAAACACAAAACTGCCTATAAATGTTGTTGGGTCCAACATCCAGGAGTGGCCAAACACATATCAGGGACTGGATATGTGATAGAATGGTTTCAGACACAGGTTCGCTGATGATAGTGCGTCTGCTGTTAAAAGAGTGCTGGTTAGCGAAATTAATATATTAGAGAATGCGATGAACAGTGGTAGAAAGTGGATTAATAACTTATGTTTAAATGCTAAAATGAAGGAGAGAGTGTGTTGAGTCGCTATCCAAAAGCATACTATTCGACATGTCAACCAATTAATGTCTCTCATCTTTATTACACTTGTCCAATAAATACAAACTCAAGTAAAATGATCATTGATTAATATGAATCTGCATCAGCCAAAAAATTACGCATAAATCTCCGTTGATAAATTTTCGATTTTCTTTGAGTATATATAAGATGTAAAATTGTCGGACAGCTTCTCTACCTATCGTTCACTTAAGACTTGCAAGAATGAGTTCCAGCTCTGGTAATGTCCATCATATGATAGACTAAATCTTAGCCAATTTTCACCCGAAACGAGGAAGGATGTCTCGTGGACTGCGTCGACCTGAACGTCGTATTAAAGCCAAACGGCTGCAGTACAGCGGGAATCAGCCGTCGTCTTCTGATGAGATCGACCTGCGAATCTCTTCATCATGTACCATCTTACGAAATGAAAGTCTCCTCAAAAAGGCAGTGCAAGCCTCTTAATTTATCTCCCTAAAATAAACGCGCATTTTTTTATTGATTGGGTATATTTCGGTAAATTATTGAATTTTTTTCTAATAGATACAATTATAATTTTAATTATAGGTCCTCTTGGTGATTTAAGTTGATATATCCGTGCTATTCACAATGCAATATACTGAATTACTAACTAGTCATCTTTTTGGATTTTACTGGCAAACTTGGATTTCTCTTATATACATCTATTTACACTGGAAATATTAATTCTATCAAAGTTACATTTCTCTTGTCATTCACTGTCATTCAATCTATGGTAACGATTTGAGGCATGCTACTCTTTTATGGACACGTTCCTTTCTAGAATCAGCCTAGCTCTTAATATTTCATTCGATATCCGAAAATACATGAACTCTAGAAAAAAAAACAAGTAGATTTTAACTAGAATAGTGGGGCCTTCTACATATTTCATCCAGAAAAACCTTGGAGCATCGATGGCCTATGGTGATCCTCATTTTTGTACTCCTGTGACTGCAACTACCGTAACTACAGTCTTCTACGTATGCTAATATTTTTGATCAGCATTATTTTGACTGACTCAACCTGACCCATTATTTTTATGCTAACTGTTTTTTCTTATACGTTTCATTATTTATCTATATGATTCACATAGTTTACTCTTTATTAATTCCCTTTTAGTCTGTGGGTACGAAATCCGGTAAACCAAAGGAGACGGTCACAATCATGTACTGTGGAGAGCTCATATGATGTTCCAATCCAAATGACAGATTATTTTATAATTATGTATCCTCTATCTATTCGCTAATTTCTTTAATCAACTTCTTAAAACGACCAATATTCACATAAGAACATGAATCACCTTAAATGGTCAGTCACTTAAGTTGGTGTAGGACTGCTAGTTGGATTAAATACAGTAAAATGAAGCCTTGCTATGTCATTTACCTTCACTTAGCGAGCCGAAAAGCCTTCACATCCATAGTTTATACCTGGAACCAGTTTTAGAATTGGATGTTATGTTGTGCATGTAAAGCTAGTTGGCTGACAGTAGGTTTTACCATATATGTAGTCCATGTAGCAAAGGCTTGACCATGAGACTCACTCAGAGGCTTTAGCCCCGAATTAATCACCCAGGAGGAGTAATAAAGTCTCGAGTAGCACAGATGGGGTGGCAGGGGTCGATTAAAATACTTGAACTAGGAAGATAACAGACGGATCTTACGGGGCAAGAGGGAGATTCTGATGAGACTGAGGGAAGGAGGACTGCATAAAAATATGTCAGACTAATCAAAATTCCCAGCGCAATGGTTAAGGTTGGTGAGAACGGCAGTTTGGAGGGTTCTCATGATGGCCGCTCAAAAGAGAACACCTCACTGGATTTAAATAAGCAATGAAAAATTGTGATGGTAAAGGCATGACACGAGGATATAGGAAAGGTGAGTAACCCAAGTCAGAAGGAGGGATACCCGAACTGTTTAGCACACATTTGGCTTCACTTGTCTCTGACGAGTTGTAGTGTGGTGGTAAAAATAGCAAGACTCACTGACTATGCCGACGAAATGTCTGTGAATGTACCACGTCCGCGTTCCGACTTTGGAAATTATCATGCATATACTGGACTCCGGACTAGGTGCGCTTCTTCCTACCAATATGACCGATTTGCGAAAACAAGGTCCAACAATTTGTTTACAACGAAAAGAGACTGCGATACACCTAACGCCACACCATCTTGTTCTTCATACCTTCGAATAAATAATTAAGTCAAAATTCAAACGGGATGAAGGGGGATTAGTGTTTGGGACTGGGTAGACGGACAATTATATTCGGTATATATTTAAAAAAATGATTTTCGAAGAATGCTTGTAGAAATGTGTACTCGAGGGACTTTAATTTCGTTTAAAGAGGCGGATGTAAGGGTTTTTAAAGGTTGACTCAACAGAAATCTAAGGGGTATTGCTGTGGAAGTGCAACTTTAGATTCGCTTGAATAATTCTTTGGCTCAAAGTCCCATGACCCAGATGAATGCTTGCTGAGCCTTTGTCTGTTAATTAATGACATCTGAACAGGATCTCATGCCTTACCAAGCGGAAAGAAAAGCCATATGGCCGGCTTCAGACCTACCTACTTCTCTTAGCCTAAATTTGTCTATTTTATGTGACATCTCATGACTTGGTTGAATATCCTCTTCTTTTTACACGTG